TAAACATATGCATTCAGTTTTCTCTCCCAGAATCTTTGTATGACTGGACCTGGAGGTAGGGTAGGTGTCCTTGCTGCTCAGGGCTACTTCTGGATCACTGTCCCTGCCTCTCCCCGCTTAAACCTCTAGTTTTGAAGCTCGCGCCTTGGACCCCACCACCTGCTGCCATTTCCTGGTGCAGTCGACTACGAACCCCTCATTTTCTTGAAGGTTTCAGGACCTCCCTCACTGCCGCCCTCTCCAGCACCGCTCCGGTCACGCTTCGTGGCGATTTCAATGTACACGTGGACAACCCTTCACATGCTCCGGCCACTTGCTGTCTGTCTTTCTCTTATTTTCCTTTGTTAAGTTCCAGGAAACCTCTCATCTACTTTCTGTCTCTGTAGATTTGCCTTTTCCAGCCATTTCATATAAATGGGATCATATAATATGTGGCCTTCTGTACCTAGATCATTTCACTGAGCATCGTGTTTTCAAGGTTCGCCCATGTTGTAGCATGAATCACCACTTCACTTCTTTCCATGGTAGAATAATATTCTGTTATGTAGAAATAATATGTAGTTTATCTGTTCGCCCATTGATGGACATGTGGGTTGTTTCTATTCTTTGGCTACGATGAATAACGCTGCTCTGAAATTCACATACAAGTCTTCGCAGGGACATATGTCTTCATTTCTCCTGGGTAGATACCTAAGAATGGAATTGCTACATCATATGGTAAATCTATATTTAACATTTTAAGAAACTGCCAATGTTCGTTCCAGAGTAGCTTCGCCACTTTATATTCCCACCGGCAGCATACGAGGGTTCCATTTCTTCTACATCCTCACCCGCACTTGCCAATGTCTGTCATTTTTATTATAGCTGTGCCCTAATGGGAGTGAAGTGGTACCCACCGTTGTCTGGATTTGCACTTACCTAGTGGCTAATGATGCTGAGCATCTTCTCGTGTGCTTCTTGTCTGACCCTTTCTTTGCCACCGCTGTGCTTATAATCTTGTCCTCCACTTTGCATCGGTCACGCGCTTTCACGGTCAAACCCTGGACCTTGTCATCCCCTCCGTCATAATCTCAATTTCGAACACGTACCTTCACCACCTTACCCATCACCACCTTCCTAGTTCGCCTACCTCTCCATCTTCAACAATGTTTCGACATTCTTGGGATCCAATTCTATCGATCCTGACAACTTTTCACTGTCTCTCAGCCTCTATCACGTCTTTACTTGCGATCTTCGCCCTAGATTCCACGGCTATCACTGAAGTGCCTCTTCTGCACCCCACTCTGTTCATGGCTTCCCGGGTAAAACCACAACTCCGGCTGTACCCACTGCTGCATCTGTTGTGCAACTTTACTCACACGTTGAACGTGGCTTGAGAAAAAACACACCGTCAGGCCTTTCTTTAAATTCATGACCACAGACCTCAAGGTGCTCGGTGGTGCCTGAAAGTCATCTTACCTCATCCTGTGTACATGGATGGTCTCCTGTTCCCCGGGCGATTATTTCATATATATCTCGTCCTTTCTCTTCAAACCTTCAGGATATCCCTCTCCAATGTCATTCTTGGCTGATGTCCTTGCTTCCTATTTCGCTGAGAAAAATAGAAACAATTATGAAGACATAAGTAGCCACTGGCACCATTTCTATACACCCACAAGCATCTGTTCCCGCTCTCGCTCCTTCCTGTTCTATGGATAGAAAGTCCACGCCGCTATCTAAGGCCACTCACTACTCGTGCACTGCAACCCGCCCCCTCTTATCTATTCACGGAAATTACTCCAGGAATTGTCCTCTCCTCTTCTGCAGCGGCATGCCCACATGCTGGAACGACACCTGTCTCAATCAAGCCCTCTTCTGATGCCACATCCCTTATAATTACTTCCATCCTCCATGTCTCTGCTCCCAGTAGCAGCGAAATTCCTGGGTAGATTTGTGTTCTCTATTTTTTTGTCCTCCATTCTTCTCCTCTAAGTCTTTCTTGAATCCATCCTGATAAGGATTTCCCCTCTACCATCCACCATAGCAGCCCCTGTCAAAGCCGCAATGACCTTCGATGTTGGTAAATTCAACGATGGATTGTTGAGCCTCCTTCGACTTGACCTAAAGAGGCATTTGACACAGTTAGTGGCCCCCTCCTCCTTAAGACACTTTTCTAATTAGCTTTCCCTTCCTTCACTGGTTTTACGTCTCCTTTGCGAAGTCTTCCACATTTTTCCAACTCTTATTAAATTCTGGAGTATCCTCAGGCTTAGTCCTAGGATCTCTTCTCTGTCTAAACTCACGCCGAGAGTGGTCTTATCCATGTGCGTGGATGGAGACACCTCTAAGCCATGACCACCCCAACTACACTCCAGCCCAGACCTCTGCTCCACATTCCTGCACCCAGCTGCTCTCTCAAAATCTCCTCTTGCTATCCTGAACATATCTCAGCTTTAACACGTCCAAGACACAGCTCCCAATTCCTACCTCCTCCAATCTGCCCTCCACTGTCTTCGCTGCCTTAGTGAACAGAAATGACACAGTTTCGGTTTTCCAAATAAAAGTTCAGGAGCCACCCTTGACTCTAACATTAGTTTGCTGTAACAAAGTGCCACAAACTGGGTGGCTTAAATGTCAGAAAAGTATTTTCTCGTAGTCATGGCAGCGAGCAGTCTGAGATCAATATTTGGGTAGACTTGGTCCCTTCTGAGGGCCGTGCAAGAAGGCTCTGTTCCAAGCTTGTAGGTGGCTGTCTTTTCTCTGTGGCTTCGTATGGTCTTCCCTCTGTACGGTCTGTATCGACCCTGTCTCCTCACAAGGTCCTACACGATTATTTGCCTCCCACCACCTCTGTGCGCATCTGCCCCATCATACTAGCTGCCTTTCTCTGTTCCTTTCGTAAGCCAGGAGCTCCCCAGTCTGAGAGCTTCTGCTTTTCTCTCTCCTTGGGAAAAATCTTCCCTCAGCTCTTCACATAACTGGCTCTTCTCATCCTCAGGCCTCATCCCAAATGTGACCTTCTTTGACCACCCAAAGTAGTCCTCCTTTCAACTTAATCTATCACCCCATTTTTCTTTTGTAACATATATCGTCTGCAATCATCTTACGTAGTATTTCTTCACTCGTTTGCAGCTTGTCTCCTGCTGTGAGTATAAAAGGTCCAGAATAGTCAAAAGCTTTTCTGTCTTGGTCACTACTCAAGCCCCAGTCCTAGAAGCTCAATATATGTTTGCTGAAAGAAAAAAATTAATAATTGGATTAATAGAACCCTCTAATGCCTACCCAGATTAGGAATCTTAACACCAGCTACATCATGTACTTGAAACAATTATTTGGAGACACTACACGCACGCACACACACACACACACACACACACGCACGCACGCATTTAGGTAGATGAGACAGAGCAGGTGGAAGATGCAAATAAAAACAGAGTTTGAAATATTGTCAGTCCTCTTTGTTCATGTAACCAAAGCCCTGAAAATATTACCTTTCTCTAAGCTGAAATGGGAAGCTATGAATACCAGAAGATTTTGCGAGGAAGGCCTCTCTCTGCCTTTGGACAAATGGTGCCCAGCCGAGCTGTGTGACAAGGAAGGTGAAATCATTTTCAGCAGCTGCCACCAAACTTGAAGAGGGTTGATTGATGCGACAAAGTCTTTTCACAAAGAACATAAATCAAAGAAGATGACTGACAGCGGAGTAAACATTTTAGAACTAGAGTAATTAGGAATATATTAGCAATTAAAATAAACTTATTATCATTAGCGAAATTGGCAGTTACTTGCAATTTCCCCAGGGGCCTCATTTCTAGTTTATCCTTGTAGATTATATTTCGGCAGGACTAATGTTTTTGGAGATACGGTTTTAATTTATCTCAATTATTCCTTACCGTGCCTAGCATATGGAAGGCACCTGATAAATATTTGCTGGTGGAAGGAAGGATGGGTCAAAGGAAAAAAGGAAGGAAGAAGGAAACAAGGAAGGAAAGAACGGAAGGAAGCGATGGAGGAAGAAAGAATTGATAGTACATAGTAAACGTGGGAGCTTGTTTACTTGCAATGAGGAAACTCTTCTGAAGGAGAATTAATGGAGAGTCTAATGGAATTGTAATCACAGTATTAGTTACTCATCATAAAAATACTAAATTATATAGAGTAATGAAAATACTAAGTTATATATAGTGATGGAAATAATAAGACTCACACAGCTTTCTAGGTCAATATCCAACACAAAAGAAGTTGGGAGACTATTTCGCTGCTAGTGGAATTTCAAAACACCCACTTCAGAATTTATTTCTCCTACTTATAAACACAAAAACGCTGTCACAGTTTCCTCAGGAAGCACCACTCATCTTGTTATATTTCCAGGAGCCAAAGAAATGAGCCTGTTTTGAATAATAATTTGCATAAACAGACACACACCACAACTCTTTAAACTATCTCATTCAGTTTGAGTGAAATGAACTTGACTTTACTTGGAGCTGTCACATTGTGATTTATTTCCCAATTTCCCTTCCTGTCAGTGGACTGTAACAATCACAGTTCATTTGTGCATCCGCCCTTCATGCCCCACAGGTGCTCTGTGTCTGAGAAACGCAGTGACTGTGATGTTCGGCTTGAGGAAGGACACAGCATAACCAGCCCAGCTTGGCCCATGACAAATTATTAGGTAGAAGTCCTGGTTTCTCTGATTTATTAGCCAAGGCAAGTCTCTGTTCCACCAGAGTGATGGAATGATCTGTCAAGACCCTGCTCTTGGAAATGGCTCTGATCCTAGGTTTTCGTGAAAAAGTCCCAAGACAGGAAGTAAATAAAGAACGGAAGAATGGGGCACCCTTCCTGCTAGATCCCCTTAAAACATGGACGTCTCTGTGATGATCCTACTTAAACCATGAGATGTGGTCCTTACATGCGGGACAGCCAAGCTCTTGGGGAGACTGGCTCATTGACTCGCTCATTCAACCAGTCGACAAATCTATATTGGGCACCTAATGAGTGTCGGGAATTGTGCTGAGAGCATGGAGTCGGAGAATCCTAGTTTGAAAAACAAACTCCCTGCCCTCAACTGGCTCTCGGTCTCGAAAATGATGCAGTATAGAGTGCAGGTTTGAGCACAAAATCCCAGATCTACTATCCTAGTAGTATAATCTCACTGGGCTTCAGTTTCCTTATCTATAATATGCAGATGACAATGCTGTCTACCGCCAAGGGCTGCTCGGGAAGAATTAACGAACACTTCAAAGCACTTGGGCAGTGTTGAGCGTGTAAGCAGTAGAATGAGAGTCCCATCATTTGTTAACTTGTATGTGAAGTGTGAATGAATACCCTACTTTCGTAGGCATTAAGTTTCACAGGAAAAATTCAAGGCCTCTTTGACCCCTAGAGAGTTTAAGAGCAAGGCTAGAAATTCAAGAGTGAGTTTGTCTGAAGATGAGGATAGAAGCTCAGAGACAATATATTCGACACTTGGGTCGCAATTGCTTTCGAGAACTTTCTAGAGTTCTGGACTAGCTCCTTCTTCTGACCCACAGGCCGAGGTCCTTTATCCCACACCTGACTTCATGCCTCTGTCAGCTTAGAAACTACTTTCTACCTGGACTACCCCCCAGTGCCAGCTTCCTACCAGAAGCTACATCCTTTTTACCCTCGATGAATCTCTTGCTGTCAAAACGCACAAGTTCAAGCATAGGCATATTTGCTAAACTAGCCTGCTGTTCATGGCATGTCATCTCCTCCATGAGTAATCAGACACCAGCATGCAGACCTCTCATTGGCACAGACATAGGTGACTACCTGTATTGTCATCTTCATGCGGAAATGGGCAGGTTTTAGCTCTGGAAGGTGGAGCTACCTCTCCGATGCCACACAGTAATAAATCAGTGGATTCGACCTATTGAGGTCATACTCTTCATTGCATACTGTCTTACTTCTGAAAAATTGTGAAATGATGAAAATCAGACTGTTGGGTAGGATATCAAGGGATATCAAGGGATATCACCTAAATGTATAGTTTGAGGGCCTTTGGGAGTCTCCTTAGGATGTGAAATATTTCTCCCACTGGGGGTACAGTTCCTGAAATCTCGCCACTCCAGTTCAGTTCCTTTGGCCTGGCTTCTAAGGCCTCCATTACCCCGATCTAATTTCTCAGGCTTGCTATAAAAAATCCCGTCTATGCAGCTGACCCCATTGCCATGCCGTTTCCTCCCCACGTCACTCTGCCTTATCTGGCTTTCCCTGCCTCTCCGCCTCAGTCCATGCTCTCGTCTCCATCTGACAAATCCTAATAACTGCCCACAATAAACAATGAACAAGTGTCTGCTCCAAGAATACATTTCTTTGCACTCAACATTGCTCTATGAGTCTTCTCTTAAAATGCAAACGTAATACACACAGCAAGATAAGAAGCATACATTCCACCCCGTTTACTATGACTGGGATGGGGGAAGGTTTTTTTTTTAACCTTTTATGTATTTTTTTTTCTTTTCTTTTGCAAATATGGCAGAAGGTAATAATTTTATAATAATATATTAAAACTCTTGAGCTGTGTCATACATGGAAGCACCAACATTCCAACATCTGAGGACGAATGCGCTTTCCGATGTCCTTCGTAATACAGAATTGGGCTAAAGCAGAAGGCACACGTTTGGGGAGAGGTTTGGGGGAGCGTCAGGGGAGCAGAGCGAGCTGTAGGAGATACACTTCGCATACTTTACC